CGGCGTGCGGTGGGGCAGGGTGGGGTGAGGTGGGGGCTGCTTTCGGTGTCAAGATTAGCGGCTGCGCGCTAATGGACGCGAGAGTGACAGTGGCGGCGCCGCGGCGGCGGGCAGCCGGTCGGCGCGCGTAGGAGGCAGCGGCCGCCCGACGGCTGCGGCGGCGCCCGCGGGCGCGGCCCGCCCGGGGCCCGGGGCGGGGCGGGGCGGGCCGGCGGGTGGGGGTCGCGGTGCGGCAAGAGCGGAGCCCGAGTTGACGGGTCGGAGCACGCAAGTGTTGCGCCACGATCTGGCGCCACCGTCACTCGTATCGACGCAGCGCACCGGGGGGGGGGGGGGGGGCGCGTGCCCCGCCGCGTAAGCGGCCCGGGCGGCCGCGCGCGCGCGCCGCGCGCCGGGCCACTGTCACCACATTCAACCTCGCCTCGCCATCTACGCCCCGGCCCGCGCCCCCGCCCCGCCCGGCCCCGCGCGCCCAGGCCTCCGCCCCGCACCGCTATCCGCCACCCGGCTCCGCTGAATTCTTTCTTTTTTGTCTTGTTGGGTGGTTTTGGGAAGTTGGTATTTTTTGTTCCGTTGGTGTGAAAAGGGGGCGGTGGGGGGCCGTGGGGGGGGGGGGGCCGCGGCGTTGGCGAGCCCGCCCCGCTCCGCCCCGCCGCCGCTGTCGCCACTCGGACCTCGCGGGAAATGGACGGCTCCTATCTCGCGGTGGGCGAGTGGCTGGGACGGAGGCGCCGCTTCTGCTTTCTGAGCCCGCGCCGCGCTCTCGCCTCGGACAGCCGATGCGGGATTGTGTTTGCGGAACACGATGACAGATGCTTTTACCCGGCTTTTGAAGATGTTCGGATGCGGGTAGTTGGCGCATGCTGGAAGTATGTGAAAGACTTTTGGCTTTCCTTCTCGTTCGCCGTGAGTCACGTGCTGAATGTTCTTCTTTGTTGTATTTATATATTCAGTCTTTTACTATTTACTTTAAAGGACTTGATTAGTAACTTTCTCACTGAAGGTTATTCATGAAGGAAAGGTTACGTAATTAACATATTCAAATACGCGTTTGTGGTTCTGCAAGTTTACGTTCTAGTCATTCTTTTAGTGAAGCGCCTTTCAATTATACTCGCACGTGCTGCTTAGGTTATGCGAGAATCGTCTAAGCAGAATTTTACTCGATGTAAACGTGGAGCTCGGAATAATTTATTGTAATTTACTATTGATGAGCCCAGTGCTCGGTCTTTCCGTTGCAACACCAGACGAATAAGAATGAGTACAAAGAAAGCCAATTATTCTCTTTCAAAAGCAGAAAATACACGCTGGTCACCACCCTTGGTGAGACAAAAAATATTTGTACGTGCTTTAAACACAAGTGTGAACTAATTAGACTTATGGAAGTAACAAAAGTTGTTCTCAAAACCCATCTAATTCGTGATCTCTGTACAGATTTCGTAGTGTTGCGTTCGTAAAGTGCACCGCAGTAGTACTGCAGCGCTCGATCGAACTGCAGAAGTCCGCAGCGGCCCAAACGCCACAAAAATACTGTACCTCGGCGGCAGCGCGTTTCTTTTAATAATACAACCCAGCGAGAAACTATCATCCCGTCGGGCCGTCGCGACTTCTTTCTCGCGGCCCTGCGTCACGAGGGAGGGAGAGAGAGGACTGGGGAGGTGGATGGGGGGGAGGGGGCGTGCGTTCGTATCTCTCTGCGAGGCCCCGTTCCTCACGCGAGGCCTGCTCGGCCGGAGCCGTTAGGCGGGCTGCGGAATCGCCAGGCGCCGCCGCCGCCGCCGCCGCCTCTCGTTTTACGGCCGGGCGTCGCGCCGGGTCGCAATTGGAAAGTCCCCTCGCGCCGCCCCCGACGCCGCCCCGCCTCCCCGGGGAGAGGGCGCTCCGCCGCGCCGCGCCGCGCAGCGTGGCCGGCCCCTATCTCCAGCGTGGGCCTCGTAGATAAGGGCGTGCAATATTAAACGCAGAGGCAGGCAGGCCGACCGGCCGGGCGTCCAGCCCGCTCGCCCACTCGCGCACCCCGCCGCGCCGCGCTGCTGCTACCTTTTCGTGGCTGCGCCCGCTCGCTCGCTGACTCGCACCGCGGTGTTTCCTTCATGCGGCGCTTTTCGTGCGAACTCACCTGTTCTTTTTTCGTGTTCGGCTGTGAACATGGATGTTGCACTTGCTGTGATTCTTTTTTGCGTTAGTCATAGTCCAATCGTTCACCTACTTTTGTTTTAGTTTTAGTTTTCGTAGCGAATTATTTTATTTATTCTTCGTTGCCTTTGTGAAGTTCTGGTATTCTTGGCTCGTCTCGTGATATCTCTCTTAATTCACACTTTGAGGTCTGCTACCATTCATTACGTTCACGTACTCCGTTACGTTTCACGTGTTTGTCCGCTCGTGTTCCAGTTCCTTTTAATCGTGCCAAACATTCGTCTCGTTCTCCTTTCCCCCTTCTATTTGCGCCCATCTCTTTCTCTGGCCTGCCGTCGGGAGCTGTGAAGTTCAATACCGTTCGTCGACGTACATAAATTGAGCCACCGCCTACCGCCTCTGCAATACAGCCCACCTCTCTCCACATCGCCCCGCCCGGTCCCTCCCCAGCCCGTCCTCCGCCCCGCCCTCGCTCGCTTGCCGTTGAGCGCGGGCGTATTGAGTATCTCGTGCTGCAAGATTGATGCCTTTGTCAGGCGGGACACTCGAGACGCTCCCATCTGTCCTCGCGTTGGCCTCCGAGCGCGCTTGTTTGCTCCTTGCCTTCCCCTCCCCTCCGCTCCCCTCCCCTTCTCCCTCCGCTCCTTGTCAATGCCCTCTCACGTGCAATCCGAGCGCACGTGCTCCCCCGCGACGTGGCCTGTCACAATGCTAGACGCGGAGCTGGCGCTGAAACGAGATACGTTCTGTGCATTGAAGAAACGCGTCAATCAATCTTCAAACATTCCAACCCTATATTAATTTATTTGTGATCAGTACGCAAGAAATGTAATAGAATTTCAATTTGTATTTTAATGGTAATTCGTTGTTAAAATGTTTTTTTTTTTAAAATGGCTCTTGTACTTTTTTTTACTTCAATTGTTTTCTTTTTATCGAGTAAGAAAAAGTGTGTTATGCAAAATGCGAAGAACCTTCTTAGAGCTGTACAACAGATTTCTGTTAAATACAAAAATCCATAATTAGAGTACACACATTCTTTCATTTTCGTCTTTGTAATACGAGAAAGACACAAAAGATATGTATTGATGTGAATTAAAGGATTATTTCGCTTTCAAATTATGTGATTTATCACGGACGGACCCATCTATGTACACCTACCTCATGCACCATTGCTTTTCATTGAATGTGGGTGATATTCATCGCTTGTGGATATCTGTTCAAACGTGTCCTAGATTTGCTTCGTTCCCATTTGTGTGTTTACGGTTTAAAAGCTAAATCGACTTCTTTCTTGGCCTTTCAGACTTTCGATTATATTTCATTCAAACCTTTCAATTCGTATGTTGCATAGTACAGAGTCATCAGTCATCTTTCGTGTGTGGAATTCAGGCAATATGTAGTGCTGACGCGTCCTGTGTCAAACGAAGAGATTGACTCCGGTAATTACGACGGGCGGTCTCATTTCGGCGCTGTGGATTGAACCCCCCGACGCTAGTCCACGGCGCGAAACAGCGTTGAGCGTTGCAGAGCAGGGCCACCCCACCCCAGGCGGCGCTCCCAGCGGGGACCGCCCTCGCTGACACCAAGTGGCCTCAGAAAACATCTAACGGGCGGGCCGGCGAGCGGGTGCTGCGAACACACGACCCGGGCGGAGCGGGGCGGGGCGAGCCGGCGCCATCGGTCGTTAACCCCTGGCCGCAGGGATGGCGGCGGCGGTGGGGAGAGGGAGCGTGAGGGGGCGGTGGCGAAATTGGAAGAGGGCGTGGCGTGGCGTGGCGTGGCGCGAACGCTCCCCGGGCGGCTGCGCGGCCGGAGGTGACGGGGGTGGGGGCAAGTCCGTGGCGTGGGCGCGGGCGACGGCGACGGGGCCGCTGGCGGAGGCGGAGTCTGAGACGGAGTCTTGGGGCGGCGGCGGCGGCCGGAGGCGAGGCTGGAGTCCCACAGGGCGCCGCCGCCGGCCCGAGCGGAAGCCTTTGCCGTGCCGGGGATACGTCGCGTCGCCGGCGCGCCGATCCCAACCTCCGCTGGCTTCACAGCTCTGCGCTCTCGCCGCCGCGTCGTGCGACTAGTTTGCCAAACTCTGTACTCCGTTCTGCTGTCGGAAGTTAGGAGTCTCTGAAGCTGTGTGTTCATATTAAAGCGAGCACTTGCCTCTTGTTTGTACTGATGCCCTGGCGTCAAGAGCAGTGGTACTTTTAACGGAATTTTCGTCATTGCAGTAATACGAGGAAATTTGACCTGTTTTCGTGGTTGCTACTGGGAATAAGAACTTCTCTAGCTCACGGTACAAAGCGAAATTCAGATTTAACCGAGTTTCATGCGAATGATGCAGAATTTATTGACTTGCATTAATATTATAAAGCAAAGGAAAATACTACGGATGCAAATAATTTGCTTTTGTTTCTCTATATTATATAAAGAAATTTCGAAAGCGTAAATCAGTAACCAGAAACCTTGGCCCGTTGATTGCTTCAAAATGGGGCGCCAAGCTATTATAAAGCATCGCGTAGGAAAAACTGAGAGCAAAGCTTGACTTGAGGGGATACTGTCCCTCTCTCCTACTCTTTAATCGCGGGAAGATAGCTTGAAACACTGCCGGACGAAATAATGCAGATATCACATTATCATGCTGAAAAATTTGCTGGTTCACAATAATGGACGCGTAAGGTACTAAGTGTGACTGTTGAGACGCAAAGCATGCGGTAATACGGACAAAATAGTGAAACAGTGAATCTCGCTGTGTCTACGCCATGTGTGTCATCCTCGCGGTGTCCCTGGTGTCATCACTTTGCTATAGGAGACGTTTTCACTTTTAGCTTCGAGCTGGCAGACTCTGCTGAGGAGAGCGGAGGCTGCGATTTAACGAGACCAGGATTTCTCACACTGATATAGTGACGCAGCGCGAAATTTTGACCCCTTCTGTGTAGACAGTCTTTCTTTTTAACCGATGTGGCCTTTGCATCGGAAAGGATTCGCGATTTGAACAAGTGGCTGCGGCCGCGTGGGGGCGCGCGGCGCTCTGCGTGTCTGGGGGCTGTTGGATTCGCGAGCCGCGGGCGCAGCGAAGGGCGACCGCGGGTGGCGCTTCCTTCCTCCGAGACACGCCCACTTCCGCCCACGCTCCGCCCACGCTGCGCCCTCGCTCTGCCCTCGCTCTGCCCTCGCTCTGCCCTCGCTCCGCCCTCGCTCCGCCCTCGCTCCGCCCTCGCTCCGCCCTCGCTCCGCCCTCGCTCCGCCCTCGCTCCGCCTTCGCCCCGCCTCCTTCTTTCGTCCCACTTTCGCCTCTGTCCTTGTTCCTTTTGCAGACCTTCGTTATAAACGTGTAAGGCTCTGTTGAACGCGCCTCGCCTTTATGTCGGTTGCGCTCGGTGTCTCTGTTCGTGTGAATATCTTCTCACTGCAGTCTCCCTTCGTCGTAAGTTAATGTTTGCCAGACTTTGTGTACGTGTTTTAGGCCACTGTGGTGTAGTTTACATACAGATTAGGATGCAAATTTACCAACATTAATGACATTTTCGTCCTTTAATTATTGTTAAAAATAAATGTTGGATTCTGAAACGTTAACAAGCTGTTTAGATATCAATTACTAAACGGTGTGTTACCCGTATAATTTGTATTCAGATCTACGTTACATTTGTCTTTATTTCGTTTTTCGGGTGTTAACAAAAATTAAGATAATTTGTTCCTCTGGGCAAGTTTAAGTATGTAAAGCGAAGTTAAGGGAGTTTTATGGGATGGTATCGTATCTAAAATAAGCGAGCAAGTGCGGAACGGGGCAGCTGTTCCCCCTTGGTGTGCAAAATGGGCTGTCGCCTCCTCGCTGAGCTGCTTGAGGCGTCGTAGGTGGCCGCTGATGCCGTAGCAGGCCAGCGCAACGACGCTTCCTAAATAAATAACTAGTCTGTAAATTTGGGTTTTGTTATTAATAATGTGGGCGGTTGTGGCTGCAGCGCCGCTGCCGGCCAAACACTGAATAAATAAATGGCGGCGGTGGCGATGTTAGTGTGGAGCGTGAGCTGTTGCGAGACGCCAGCGGCTTTTGCAAGCTGGTTACGGCCGAGGTGTTGGCTCGTGGACGGGCGCACCCGCCCATCGCCATGCCCAGCCCCTTTTTACCACCCGAAGTTTCCTTTTTGGGCTTCTCTAGTGTGTGCACAAGTGGCTTAGTAAACGGTTAACACGCTGGCTAACAGAATGGTGCTCGAATGATCTTCAGAAGTTCAAATGAAATTGAATCGGTTATTTCGAAATCGCCACCTCCCCGAATTTATGACAATGAGTTAAGCTCGCCATTTGATTTAGAATATCAATTTAGGGTCGTCGCATGTGACACAGCCTCCGCTGTTTGTTACAACAATCTTAGCAGATGGGGCTCTCTGTCGTTCGTTTTTTCTTTCATTTTTCTTCGAATATGCCACTTTTACAATAAACCCTTTCCGAATGACCGATTCGATTTCAATCGAATATTAGTATCTTAGAGCTGATATTGTGTGGTGCTGTACGTGAAATACAGTTTTATTTCTCGTATCCTTGCAGAATACATGCAACTTATGATTCAAACCTGTTGAATACTAATGTGGAATTTCTTTTCTTTCAGGGGTGCTTTTTCTGTTGTACGAAGATGTGTACAAAAATCCACGGGGCTGGAATTTGCAGCCAAGATCATCAACACGAAGAAGCTCTCAGCCAGAGGTGAGTCCCCCCTGTGTTAACTAAACTGCGCTGAGAACATTTTTATTCGTCTCTACTCTTCGAATCTTTGTCCATTTAATTGTGGTTTTGGATTCAGTTAAAAGTTCGAACTTCGAGCTCATGGTCGTCTACATATATGTAAAATATACATGTTTTCTTAGTAGAATTTGTAAGTTTTCTTGAAACTTAACTCTATGATCTCACCTGGAATCGTTTAATTTATCGTTCCTTGAAGTGGATGCGTTTTCCCTGAAACTATATAATTTGTTCTAATTTTTCTATCGTGTGTTGATGTGTTGAAATTGCTTTAAGAATACATTACGACCGCATAAAAATCGATAAAATCAAGCGAAAGAAAATCGTTTACCTTTTGAAGTTGGAATAAGTTTTTCGAAAGATCTGATAAAAACAATTTGTAAAAATAAAAATAATAATAAATAATAATAATAATAATAATAATAATAATAATATGTAAAACTGAAATTGGATTGTCAATTGTAGTTGTAGTTTTTGGAATCCTACTTCAAAATTTTTTTTAAAGCTCTGTCACTAGTTGCTATGTCCTAGTTGCTTAAAATGTTCTGACGTCCTCCTAAAAATTGCTTGTGTATTTCACTAGTACATTGATCTTTAATACAAAGAATTACAAAAAAGATTACAAATGTTGCAAGCAAAGTAATAAATCAGTAAGGACAGTGATTATATAATAAGCAGAGTAACTATAATTTCGAATTTAAAATTCTGATTAAAATACATTTTATTATAGACAATAATAATTAAACGATTGCCAGCTATGTTTTTTTTCTACCTGACCTAGTGAAATATAACTTGTATTTTACATAATTTTTAAAAAGAAAATTAGAAAGCAAAATATTAATATGTGTAAAATTTCAATGTGAGCACCATTTTTGTAATTATACATACGTTTTAATGTTGTAATGTGCAATTAGTTTAGTGTATTTTTTCCCAAATGTTACATGTAAAGTCTAGAAAATAAAACTTCTCTATTAAATTTCATTTCCAGGAAAGATTGTCATGAAAATACGCATTTTCCTCTCCTATTTAATTTGTAGTTACATCAGTATGTTTCTAAGTAAGGGGTCAGAACTTGCAAATTCTGCTTAATTCAGACCGCAATGTCAACATTTGATCCATACAATTACATCTAAATATCAATTTCGACCATGCATTATCAATACAAGGCTGAGAATCACCTTGAAAAATATATACTTGACAACTGTCAGCAAGCTAAGAACAACAAGCAAGAATCGAAATTATTAAAGCATATAGATTTCGAAAATTTAGTTAAAATATTTTGAAACAACAAATGGCCCGTAAACTGTCCAATAAACTTTAATAGTTTGTAAATTGCCAAGGAGAATTACCATTCCCAGTCATATTCTTCTAACACCGTAAATTTCTTTGCATTCTACTCTAAACGGAACAAATTGCTAACAGAGTGTATAAAACCCCCACCTTGGACGAATCTGCAAAAGCAATTCCAAGACAACCATCCGAAGTTAGCGCATGTGATCGTCGGGATGTTACGACTTCTGGGAAATTGCAGACCTGAGATTAGAAGGACTCTGAAAGCTTGTAGTACTACGCGGGAGTTCGTTTGTGCTTTGCCGCAACATCGTGGCATTAATTCGAACTATATTGAAGATCGAGATTTAGAACGGAAACATAAACACAGTTCATTACTCGTGGAACGTTTCTAGCAGTGTCGACATTTAAGGACTACTTCGCACAGACAGCGCACGCAAACGTTGTTGGAAGTGGGTACACAATGAAATGGGCCGCAAAGGAGAAGCGAGGATACAATTACGTTCTTCCTTCCATCCATTTCATTTTGCTTTACTTTTTAGAATTTCCCAGGAGACTCATGAGAGCTATCAAAGTGCTCTCAGAAAATTAAGCCGCAGAACCTTTCAAATTAATTTGCCAATAATGACAGATTTAAGCTTACTAAATGGAAATTCATTATTGCTGAAACGAAAATGCATTACCAAGACCAACATGCTGACACAATTTTTTTTAACAAATGCCGTACCGTTTCTGCAGAGTTGTACACTATTTTGAGATTAAAATTTCCAAATTATTGAACATGATTTTCGAATTTGAAAAATGAATTTTAATTGTTCCACATTTTTAACATTCTTTATTATTTTTATCAGTATGCATTTCTTATTTTAAATTTTCGTCTATTTTTGTGTTTCAAGGATTATTCAATTTTTTTCTTAAATTTTTCAATGATGTCTTGCAATTATAATGATGCGGTTTAGTAGCTTATGTTTTGAATGTTATCTTCTTACATCTATTTATTGTTGAACTATAAGCTTAAAATACTCATCCTATTTTAATTCTGGAACAAATCGAAATTCCCAGAAAGACGATCGAAATATCATATTTATAACGGTTTATGTGAAAATTGATTTCAGTCCTTAAACGGAGAAATACTATCGCCCTTGTCCTTCAACAAATTATGACGAAGCATGACAATGTTTTTCTATACAAATTTGCTTTGTATTATAGTAAGAAGTACGTTACAGTAAAGTTATACCGAAATGTTGCCTCGTACGTTGTGAAAGATTTCTGATTAGCTGTGGCAGACTTGATGACAAACAGATTCGTATCAGAATGAACTTGTGGTAAAAGAAGTGGTTGAAATGAACTTATATTTAGGAAGGTTCATGTATTCGTAGTCTTCGGAAGGATTTTTGCAGTGAAAATTAATTCTGTTGACCTTTGATCGTTGAGTTACCCAAGATTCTCTTCAGGCTTTTACGTTAATAACATGTGTATATGTATGGATGTTCAGCGCCAGAGAACTATTTTCAGAGGAGTATACTTTTTTATGTCATTTAAGGTCTCATCAGCAACTAGGTCATAAGAAAACACTATTTCATTAAACGGTATGGTAACTGTGAAGATGGCATATGATGATAATAGGAGGTGAAAGGGCGAACACAAATACAACCATGCCCGAGGAGGGAGTCGAATTCTTCGCTCCGAGATAGCTACGGCACTACTGCCTCAACGATCTCGGCCAACCGGACCGGCTGTATACGTTTTTGTTTCACACGTTTTGGGCCGTTGTAATGCTGTATAAAGTCTCTGTCCATTCCTCCCCTCTACTAGCGTTATGGCACATGACACTTGAATGCATAATTTAAATGCACACATCACATTTGCTTACATAGTGAACACTTGTATGAGGTATTACTCTCAACATTGTGTCCACAATTTTTGTAGGGCTTTATAGACCTCCGGAATGGCGCACAGCCTCTCTGCACATACACAAAATGTACGGTGCCTCAACCCGTCCATGTTAACCGCTCAAGTAAAACTGTCTCGGTGTCGATTTCGTCTGTGACTGATTTGCTCTAAATGTGTCCTAATATATCGTGGTCGTCCACATGCACCGACAAGGGATCCTTCTTCACCTAGCCGTACAGTACGACAGCAACATCACCTCAGGAATACTATTGATTACTGAAAGGCAACATTATTGAACGTCAGTGGGTTCGCGTCCTGACGGTGACGAATTTTCGTCACCAGGTAGATATCTGGGTTGAATTCAACCACTGTCTGAAGTAGGTCTGCTCAGATCGGTAGTTTTCCGTGGTTTCTTTGATATACCATGTAAATGTTGTGCAGACGGACCATCAACTGCGCGTGATCATTCCTGCTTTATCCTTGTTCCCGCTCTACTTTCACGTACACACACATACACAAAACTTCCACATGTGATAGGAGTCCATTCGGGATATTGGGCTGAGGGAGATATTTGAAGGAACATAGCCACCTCTTGAAATATAGAATGCACTACACATTTCGGATTAATTTAGTAGTTTACGCAACTAGAACCAATATTCTCCTACTCATTAATGACCACGTCAATAACAGCACCGTTAATGTCAGTCACTCCCAGTCAAATACCAATCAGACACAGTCACGTGTCGCCAGAAATGCAATCCATGGTCATTAACAACGGTGACTGCTTCAGTTCTATAGAATTTATGTGAATGCTATGTCAATCACACTAGTCAACCTTCAGAGATGTATCTCGGATTGTAGCTACAATCAAAACCGCCGCCTCAATCATCACTGTTTCTTCACTCCTATCCCAATCACGATTGTTACGAACGTCACCAGAGCCAGAAACATAACAGCCTTCCCTACGCACACGCCCACCAACACCATCGTGAATACAATACAGTCAACTTCCATTTGCAATCAAAGAGCAGAGCGTATGATTCTCACCCCTTCTTGGAACAGCACGTGGGCGAGTAAGTGCCAGACGAGAGGGGTCGGTGGGAGCAGGACGAGTAAGAGGAAAGAGCGGAGAGTGAGGCAGGAAGAGAAGAAAAGGGTAGAGGAGTGCGGGACGAGGCAAGGAAGGGCGGGGCGCGTCCCCCTCGCCCGTGACCGCCGCGCAGTGGTCGCCCCCGGCCGCGCTGGGCGGGCGCCAGGCGTCTCGACGCCATCGCAGCCGCCCAATATAAGCATCAGCGCTTCCCGCCTCGCGACCACGGCCACCGCCACCGCCACCGCCACCGGCCACCGCCCACCGCCACCGCCACCGCCCGCCGCGGCTGTCTGCGCCTCCTTCTCCCGCCCTTCACGTTTACCTCCGCCATCGCTTCTTCTAATGTCTCCACATCTGGCACCGCCTTCCGCCTCTGTCTCCGGACTCTGACGATGACTCCGCCGTTGCTCCGTCTATCCTCTGACTCCACTGCCCTTACGCCTCTACCACCACCGCCTTCAGCTCTCTACCACCACCGCGTCCACCTTTCTACCACCTCCGCCGTCACCTTTCCACCACACCGCCTCCACCTCTTACCACCACCGTCCTCCACTTTCTACACACGCCGCCACCTCTCTCCAGCGCACCGGCCTCCAGACCGTCTTCTACCACCACATCGCTGCCGCTTCGGTCTTCGCCTGTGGCCACGCCTTTTCCACCGCCTTCCGCCACTACGCTCCTCGGCCGCCCCACCGGCGACGCCCGGCCCCCACCACCACCGCCGCACCACCACCACACCACCACACCGCCACCCACCGCCACCACCACCACCGCCGCCACCGCCACCACCGCCAGCCGCCACCACCACCACCGCCTCCCCCGCCGCCTCGGCCTCTGCCAGCGCGAGGCCGCGCCCTCTGTTGTGCGCGCCGCTGGCCCTGCACTGCCCGCTCCCGCGGCTGCACTGGGGCCGGCGCCCGACTGAACATGTGAAAATAACAGTGCGCGTTGCCGAAATGCTCGCAGTGCCTAAAGCGGGATGGCCAACCGCGAATGGGCTGAAGGAACCGCGAATTCTGGGAAACGGGTAATAAATCAGATAAATTTCATACATCTGCTTAAGTCAGAAAAAGCTTCAAATTTTTAGAACATTTAGGGAAATATAATCCAGAAAAATAGTGACTTCCTATAATGAATTTAGTCTGCATTAATTTTACCAGTAATGCAGTATACCAGTAATCTAATATTTTTGTCCAGTAAATGTAAGTGAAAAAGGCTTTTGTGGATGGGCTAGTAATATAATTAATCGATGTTATAGACCTACTATGGATATTTCTGTGTGTATCTTTAAATAATTTAAAGTTTTCGTTGCAATACTTCGGCATGATGATTCTTTTACAAACATGAAAGGTTTTTCTGATATAAAGATGCCATTAAAACTTTCATTTGGAACTCTTACATTATTACCCAAACAGTGATGTGATAAACACGTGAACAAAGAACAGCATTTAAGATATGTAGTACAAGTGTTGCATGCATGACACGTAGTATCCGCGCATACATTAAAAAAAAAATTTCTTTTGGTCTCAAACATGAAAATCATCAACCAATCAACATGATAAATAAAAAAGAAAGGGGGACAGATGCATAGAGGATGTGATGGAAGAGTGAAAGAGAGAGAAGGGGAGAAAGATAAAATGTCAGTATGTATTTGGACACTATTTACATCCGTAAGATACATCCCTATACTTATTCTATAGATAAGTCGGTGTAATATAAAAGCAGCACTGTTGGCAGGTGTCAGCTACGAAAACTCCGACGTAGGAATCTAGGATCCAAACACGTAGGGATGTCTGTCTGTGCTGCTCGTCTGTGGACCACTGTGTGGCGGGGTGCGGGCGCCGTCGCCAGCGAGTGTAATAGCCTCGGCCCCCGACCGCGCGCCTGACTGCTTTCCTTGGCCGGTTGTAAAGGAGACAAATGCAAATTTAATCTGGTCGGCATATCGCCGCGCTATCGAAGTTGCCCTCCATTGAAAGGGAAACAAGACCGTTGTATTTGCAAATCGCAGCGATACATCTCGGCCACATAGAAAGCTGAATAGAATACGTTCTCGCAGCAACGGGAAGTTGTAGATAACTCATTGTTTTGTTTTATTTTGTTCACGAAACGCACGGTTGAAAGAGTTGGGATGCTCGCTTGGCTATAGAAACGGCTGAATTGAATTATTATTTTCGTCGATTTTTCATATCACTTTTGTGTAAATCCAGTTTTATTGTGGATGTGACAATGAATCAGGATGATGACAAAGAAAAATGAATAGTTATCAACGACTTATTCTCTCTACAAATTTACATCATCTTGAATTTAGATTTACATTTCATTTGAAAAGCAACACACTTGTTAACAGAGATTATAGTAAACTTTAAGGGGGACTTCGTGAAAGAAAATATGATTTCCGGGGTAAACATATCGAGTAGGACGTGTTCGAGTTTCTCTATTTCTGAATTATCGTTCATTTACACGGTTTGCAAGTTATCTTACGGGTTGTTTAGATTTTTTATGAGAAGTATTTCTCATCTTTATTAGAAAAGGGATTACGTCTTTAAGCCTGTTGGATCATTTAAAATTCCGGGCAGTTAATTCTTGTGTTTATTGAATACATATCATCTTCCCGAACAGTCGTATCGAGAAGCAAAAAGAGTACGGAATCGTATTCGTAAATGCATACGTCATAGGAAATACTTATTCACAGTGCTATAAAAGTACACTTGCAAGTCATGAATTCGAATTAGTCGATCAGCGCGAGATTGCCGTTGAAGTATGTGAACCATTTAGAAAAGAAACGCATGCTTCATTTCTTTTCGTGAAATCTCAGTAGGCATTTTGCGTGGGCATATTGGCCAGCACTTCATTATAAGATTCATTGCAGTCACAATGTTTTGACTTGGTGGTTGGTGTTGTTATGAATACACGCTGTAGAATAATCTCTCGTTAAATACGGTTTGAAATTACTTTCGCCGAATGTATATTCCATGTCCGACAAAATTTATGGTTACAAAATCATAACTCTCACTTTCGGAGAGGTCCACATCTGATGAATACCAGTAATTTTTTTTGAGGTAGCTGTTACAACAAAATATATAATTTCACAAAGCAAAAAGACTAGTAGTGTACAGAAACGACATATACCCCCTGCAGTGCAATGAAATCGTTACATCCATGAATCACCGTGACTTGGTTACCGAACTTTACTTTGTTTCTATTGAGGAGTAACCTACTATTGAACCTACTAAAATTAATTAAAAACAAACACTCGAAAGTTTTAAATTAGTAATTTTAAATGAAGAAGATTCAGTTAGTCGTAGAATGTCAAAACTAGCCCAGCGTGCAACGATTCGACTATAACGTCGAAGGCATCAGATGCGAATTGAGGTAGCGTGCGTCTAGCTGCCCGGGCGGGCGCGAGTTAACGATGCCCGAAATACTCCCAAGTACTCTTCGGGAGGGCGGCGTACGCGCGGGATGTGGCTGTTCTCGGCGATTAACTTGTCCGCTCTGCGGCTGAAGATCGCGGTCAAAGGCGACGGCGCGCCATCCGGCCTCGACCATCAACTTCTCTTCCTGTGGGCAACTTCACGTTCAATTGCAAAGGCGGTTCCGTTGCGGTAAAAGTGGTGGTACGAACGCTGAAATGTTGTGCAATGTTTGCCAGAATGTGGTGTAATTTCTGGGTTTTGACGATTTGACTTTCGCCATGGCGCATTACTTTCCGCTGTGCTGAGAGGAAACGGTTTTGCGAAGAGTCGGTTCGAACATTCTTATGACAGCCAGATGGCGGCAGCAGCAAAAATTCTTGTGAATAAAACGACTCAAAATGTTTTTCAAAAAAGTACTGAACGATAACACTAATCAATTCTAAGAAATTAAATATTGTCCTATACACCAATAAATTAAATAAATTTAACAAAAACCTTCTTTGCGAATACTGCAAGATCATATATAATGTGTGTGTTCTTTACCAACCAATAATATAAAAAAATTGGTGTCCAAGAAGAATTGCAAAAATTTAATGGAGGACGGTGTCTCCATTGGGATTTCGCTGTCGCTTGTAAGCAATAACGCCCTCAGCATGAAAATTAAGATGGTACTCGCAGTGAGAGAATAGGCAAAATAACACAATCAAATATTTGCATTATCAGATACAATCGCCTCTGTTTCATGGTTTTTGCATTTTTCCGAAGTTTTAAGTATATAAGGAAACCATACATTCCCCTCACATTGCCAGAGCTGCATAGTTTTCTTTCAGTTTTTGCACTTTTTGGAAATTATATAATAGATTTTGTGCTTAGTTTGAACTTAGTTTTGCAATAACACATAATTAAGAGAACGTTTATTAAGTGAGTTCACTAAATAGAGAGTAAATATTTAATTTCGCTTAAGTTTCTCCATTTTTCTGAGTTTGAAAACATGAGAAATGTTCATCTATGCGTTTTTGCTTGGCACTAGATCCACGTACGAATGTATACCACAATCAACCCGTAATGAAATTGCTTTACTGCGAATTCGACTGTATGAAAAGTCCATCATTGTGCCAGCTGTGTTCTGCTTCTGCCCATGAACAAGCAGAGATATATAAACCTGCTTCTTTCTTCGTTCTTCTTGTCGCCGCTACTCTCCCATTGCGCCACCTCAACTACGCAGTCTCCGTCGGTCACCCTCTCTGAAAGTTGCCGTAAGATATTCCCGGCAACAAAGTTTAAGTGCCGATTGTTTGCTTTGGGGAGTGGGTGGCCGGCGAGTGTCTTATTTTTAAACGCCCTTACGGCCCTTTTTTGCGGTTTAATGGCTCCTGCGACGACGAAAGAGATCTTGTAATTAAAAGTTAGCGCGCGCGAGGGCCGTGCGCGAAACATGCACGACGTGTCCGCAACTTTGCAACGACTTGCGTTCGACCCCGCATTGCGCCGCCGGCCCGCCCGCGCGCCGGCTGCTCGCGGGGTAATGGGGTGAAGCGGCGATAAAATTGATGTGGCCATCATGCCATAATATGCGAGGTGGTGTCAGTGACGTTGGTGGTGTCCGGTGGACGTTGGTTGGTGTGGTGAGTTGGTGTGTGGTGACCGTTGGTTGGATGTGGTGAGTTGGTGGTGTGTGACGTTGGTGTGTCGGGTGACGTTGGTGGTGTGGTGAAGTTGGTGGTGTGTGACGTTTGGTGGTGTAGGTGACGTTGGTGGTGTCGGTGACTTGGTGTGTCGGTGACGTTGTGGTGGCGGTTGAGTTGTGGTCGGCGGTGGCTGTTGGTGGTGGGGTGACGTTTGGTGTGGCGGTGCGTTTGGTGGTGGGGTGAGTTGGTGGTGGCGGTGAGTTGGTGGTGGCGTGACGTTGGTGGTGTCGGTGAGTTGGGTGGTATGTGGTGAGTTGTGTGGGGTGAGTTGGTGGGGTGGTGAGTTGGTGGTGTCGGGTGACGTTGGTGGGGGCGGTGAAGATGGTGGGGGGGTGATGTTGGTGGGGCGGTGAGTTGGTGGGGGTCGGTGAGTTGGTGGGGGGTGACGTTTTGGTGGGGGGGTGAGTTGGTGGGGGGCGGTGAGTTGGTGGTGGGGTGAGTTGGTGGTGGGGTGAGTTGGTGGTGGGCGTACGATAGAGATAGAGATAGCGGTGACGTGGTGGGTTGCGGTGACTGTGGTGGTAGGCGGTGACGTTGGTGGTGGCGGTGACGTTGGTGGTGGCGGTGAGTTGGTGGTGGTGACGTTGGTTTTTGGTGGGGGCCCGGTTTGGGGGACCCGGGTTTTTGGTGGTGGGGTGAAGTTGGTGGTGGCGGTGACGTTGGTGGGGGGTGACGTTGGTGGGGGCGGTGGAGTTGGTGTGGCGGTGAGTTGGTGGTGGACCTGGTGAACGTTGGTGGTGGCGGGTGATGTTGGTGGTTGGCGGTGACCGTTGGTGGTGGCGGTGACGTTGGTGGTGTCGGCGGTGGGAGTGACGTGTGCCCGAGGGCGATGGGCAGCTGCGAGAGGTGACAGCAGGGCCTTTTAACTCCCACATAACTTGGTGGAAACCATTATAGTGCCGTGTTGTCCTGCAGCTCCTTACA